TAGAGATTATGTAAAGAGATATCATTAACTGCCAGTACATCATGTCTTGGTGTTTACATTTCTCAGTTTGCTGGCATGTACTTAGATATTTTGATATATCTAGATATTTGTAACAAGGTCACAGTAAATATTAGTGAACATTTGGATCAAAATCATCTGCTAACCTGCAAATGACTAACAACGTAAAATAATATTCTGCATTTCAGAACTCAATCATTTTACAATACTGAATTGCCATATGAACTAAAACATATCTGTTGTAGTAAACAACTTGTATATGTTTAACAAGCCTGTGTCGTGTGTGATATTTGAACATACATAAATCTAAAGAATATAAAGTAATTCAAAACTAAAATAAGTCATAAAACAATTTAATGCTTTTTATTAAACACAGTAACACTTAAGGTACAATAAGGTTGCATTTGTTGCCGTTAGTTAACTAACATGAACTAACAAAGAAAAATACTTCTAAAGCATTATTAGTCTTAGTTTATGTTAATTTATATACCTTATTAAAACCTAAAGTTGTGTCTGTTAATATTATTTAATGGACCTGAATGAACATGAACAGCTGGATTTTTATTAAACAATGTTACCAAAAATATAAATTACGGTAATAAATGCGCTAACAAATGGATTACTTAGTTTTAGTTAATATTAGTTAGTGCATTAACTAATCAAACAGAGAGCATTACACTTCTCCAACACGCTCAAAGCTAGCTTATTTCTTTTCAATTCAAGTTTATTTTTTTAAACTTTGGCTAGGTATGGACACTACAAGATTACTAGTAACCCGTAAACAAGGCACACGATCACTGGAGAGCTATATTCGAGAGTTTTTAACCATCGCTCACTATTCAAAGTGACCAGACATTATTTTGATAATTTTTTTTGAGAGTTTTTCTGTGATGGAATCAATCAACCTCTTCAGTCTTAGCTTAGACGCGAGGGTCCGCGTTCATCACTCAGCCAATTTTTGGATTATGCTTTGTTGACTGTTGGCTCTCTATTCACCGTGGGTGTCGTGGAGGAACGGGACCCCGCACTCACTCGTGTAATGGCGGCCGCACTAGAGCAGGCTCACAAAATGGTGGCAACAGCGGAGCCTGATCTTAAAATGGTGGACACAACAGCGCCCCGTTATGTCACAGCTGCCAATCCTGAATCAAGTCAAGTCACAGTTGATCTTCATGAATCAAGTCAAGTCACAGCTGATCTTCCTGAGTCAAGTCAAGTCACAGCTGTTCATCCAGAGTCACGTCACATCACAGCTGTTCATCCAGAGTCACATCACATCACAGCTGATTTTCCAGAGTCCCGTCACATCACAGCTGATCATCCAGAGTCTTGTCGCTTCATATCTGTTGCACCCAGATCTTCGAGGTCAGTTTTTCAGTCTCCCAGACTGGCCTCCAGCATGGAGGATACACCACCACTGAAGCTCTAATAACGGTTCAACCATTGCTGAACTTTGTACCTGTCCTGTTAAGGGAAATGAAATTATGAAATCTAATGAAATGAAACTAATGAAATCTTCCTGTTTCCGGATGGTACGACTGTAGAACCTCCAGAGGTGGCGGCATCCACTGCAGAACCTCCAGAGGTGTTAGTGGTATCCACTTATGAACTCTCGTCCTGTCCTGTTCCGGCCAAGGAGGCTATCTGTGAACTCTCGTCCTGTCCTGTTCCGGCAAAGGAGGCCGTCTGTGAACTTTCTGCCTGTCCTGTCACGGCTATGGAGGCCACCTGTGAACTCTTTGCCTGTCCTGTCATGGCTATGGAGGCCGTCTGTGAACCCTCTGCCTGTCCTGTCACGGCTATGGAGGCCACCTGTGAACTCTTTGCCTGTCCTGTCATGGCTATGGAGGCCGTCTGTGAACCCTCTGCCTGTCCTGTCACGGCTATGGAGGCTGTCTGTGAACTCTCTGCCTGTCCTATTATGGCTATGGAGGCCATTTATGAACTTTCGTCCTTCTCTGAGTCGCCAAAGAGGCCATCTTAGAACTCCCAACCATGCCTGCAACAACCACAGAGACAGTACATGGACTTTATTTTTGCCCCGATTCAGCCAAGGGATATCTCCGCTCTCAGCCCAGTCTGTTACGACCGAGGCCTTAAATGCACCTTTTCCCTGCTCTGTTAGCCCTGTTATGGCCATAGGGGCCATTAACAAACCTTTTGTCTGCCCTGCTAGCCCTGTCACGAGCCCAGAGACCATTAATAAACTGTCTGTCTGTCTAAATCTTGCTAATGAATCTGTTCCTGAATCATATGCCAGTCCCTTTTCCCTCCATGAGTCTGATGTTGAACCATCTGTCTGTGCAGATTCTATTAATGTCTGTTTAGTTTCAGTCACTGAAGTGACTCCCAGTCCAGTTTCTGTTAATCCATCTGATTTTGAACTCTCTATCTGTCGGGATTCTGCTGTTGAGTGTGGTTTTAAGCCATCTGTCTGTTCAGTTTCAAACAATGAACTTGAGTTGGAACATTCTGTCCATCCAATTCCAGCCAATGCAGTTGATTAGGAACTGTCTGTCTGTCCAGTTTCAGCCAGTGAACTTGTTTATTGAACTGTCTGCCTGTTCAGTTGTCTCCAAGGAAAATATGGATGCACTTTTTGCCTTCCCTACCTCAGTCTTTGATGCCATAGATGTCTGTCTTTTGTGTCTCAGTTTTCCCTAGGCCCCAGACTCTGCCATGGGTCCCGACTCCATCTGTTCCGCCCTGGTGGTCTTCTGCTCCGCCATGGAGGTTTTCTGCTCTACTCTGGTGGTCTTCTGCTCCGCTGTGGAGGTCTTCTGCTCCGACCTGGTGGTCTTCTGCTTCGTCTGCTCCTCCGTGGTGGTCTCCTGCGCCGTCTGCTCCTCCGTGGTGGTCTCCTGCGCCGTCTGCTCCGGCCTGGTGGTCTTCTGTCTTGCTCTGGTGGTCTTCTGCTCTGCCGTGTGGAACTTCGTACCTGTCTGCTCTGCTGTGGTGGTCCTCAGCTCCATCTGCTTCACCGGCTCCATCCTGGTTCTCTGCTCCTCCCTGGCTTCCTGCTTTGCTGGTCCTGCCTTGGTGCCCTGCTCTGCCTAAGTCCCCGGTCTCTCCACTTCCATGTGGGCCTGGCCCTCTGTCCCTCCCCCTGTTCCGCCTCCGCTCCACCGCCCTCCTGGATTGCATTGTGTTGGAAGTGTCTGGAAGCCACTCCTTGGGGGGGGGGGGGCTCTGTCACGAATCCGGTCTATAAACTTCTGTTCCCTCACCACCAGAGGTCACCCGCTCTCCACATGGACTCTCACACTACACAGACTGTTACACATAACTCCATTGAGCTAATCACAAGATCACCTGAAACCAATCACACACAGCTGCTACCTATAACACACGCTATATAAATCAGTCTCACACCACCATTCATCGGCGAGTATTGTTTAAGCGTTTATGCTGTTTAGCGTAGCTAATTTACGGAGCCAATTCCCTGTCATTGTTTGAGTTTTCCATAGTCTAGTTATAGTCTTGCCTTGCCTTTTTTCGTGTTCTGATTCTTGCCTGTGCTTCCTGGATTACCCCTCTCGTCTCGCCCTGTTCGGATACTGATTACCCCTCGCCTGGACCATCGCCTGTGTTTGGATTAACCCTCTGGATTACCCTGTTTGGACATTGTTCGCCGGAGATCGACCATACCCGTTTACTGGACTATTCGTGTGTCATGCCCTCAATATACCTGTTGCCATTGTCTGACCCTCGCCTGTTTCTGACCATGCCTTTGAATAAATGCTTTGCAAATGGATCCGCACGTCTCTCGTCCCTGTCGCCTCGTTACACCCGTTTTGATTTGATACGGGACGCTTCATTTTACCTTAAATATGGGACGATTCCATATTTTAAGGGACGGGTGGCAACCCTAATTGAAAGGTGTTAACAGACCCATTTTGACAGAATTCCTAAGTATATTTTTTATATTTTGAGCATATCTCCATATAAGTATATACTGTAAATCGACTCGCTTGTGGTGAGCAATTGTGAGTTGTGAATAATTGTTTTTGGTGTGAACATGGTTTTAAGAAAATCTTAACTGACAGTCATGTGAAAAAGTTAGGACACCCTATTGAAGTCTATGGTTTTCCGTACCAGGACATAATACAGTAAAACAAAAAAAATTATAATATGGTCCTTGGTAGGTCCTAAAAATTTGGAAAATAAAACCTCAGATGAACAATAACAAATGACATATTACACCGTGTCATTATTTATTTACCAAAAATAAACACAAAATGGAAAATCCACGTGTGCCAAAGTTAAGTCAGTCAGGCACTGCTGATCGTATACCTTTAACTGATCATCAACAAGTGCGAGCACCCCTATAAAAGCAGAAGTTTTGGTGGTTTGCTGGTCTGGAGCCTTCATGTGTGTTAACACAATGCAAAGGAGGAGACAGGAGACAGATGTCAGCAGCTGGAGTTACAGCTGGAATAAAGATGATTCAGTGATTTATGTCAGTCAATCACAGGAATACCGAATCAGTTATAATTTAGATTTAGAATTTATAACCATTAAATTCTAAATCTAAATTATAACTGATTCGGTATTCCTGTGATTGACTGACATAAATCACTGAATCATCTTTATTCCAGCTGTAACTCCAGCTGCTGACATCTGTCTCCTGTCTCCTCCTTTGCATTGTGTTAACACACATGAAGGCTAATTGAGCTAATGATTAGCTCAGCTTGTGATTAGTGTTTTCCCACATAATTATATGGGGGTTGATCTATTCGGGTTTAATATTCTGTTGGGATTTAAAGGGTTACTATTTGTCTGAGTTTTGTTGGTTATCACTGTGCTGAAGAGTAGAGCCTGTGTTCAAGTCATGGAGCAGAGAAATACTGATGTTCTGCTGCATGTCACTTTTTATTTATATTTCATGAAATTGCTCAACCTTAACCTGGTTTCCACTTGTTTGGTTCTAAAAATCTGGATGAAATGTGTATGATGGCATACATTTCTACATGGAGACATTGGTGTGCTAAATTAGTATAGATTAGTAATGTTTTCCTCACAGCAGGACATACAGGAAACAGAAAATGTATACCATTGTTTATTTAATGAAATGCAGAAAGTTCTACAATCCCTGGAATCCCTGCCTTCACTTCCACATTAAATGTTGCTGTAAAGCTGTTACTCATGGACCATGAGGATTTTTTGGTCACTTTCTTTGAAGTTTCGACTGTTTGCTTTTGATTAGCGGAGGTATCATTTGTGTAAGTCATGGATTTGATCTCTTCCACTGCCACCTTTGGTATTAGTTGCTGGAGAGTGGGATAGTTGACATTGGTGAGAACTGTTGTTTGAACTGCATTGAGAAACATGAATCCTATGCGGGTAATACCCGCACCAGCTCCTCCCTCAACTCCCAGACAAAACCCAGAGCCGACATCCATGGGATGTTCTGTTGGTAGTGAGTGTTTGGTCATTTTTGCAAAAAAATCTCCACCCTGGTTGGTCTTGAATTTGATGGCTCCAAGGCGTTTTTCTCCATTGCCCCACAGGGACAGTGAGGTGAAACACTCACCAGACTTGAATGCATACTCTTTATACCGTCCGGCTGGTTGTCCAAAGGTTTCACTTCTGCCATCTGAAAGCCAAACCTTGACAGCCTTCACCTGGCATTCTCCCAGCCACACCCCGATCTTCTCTAAATTGGCACCATTCTTCTCACCTGTAAATGAAAATGAAGCACCTGCTTCACAACCAAATTTTTGCATAGTTGTTGGTTCGGACATCTTTAAAGTGGATCTGGAAATTAGATCACAGAAGAACATTCAAATTAACATCAGATATAAATCAAGTGCATTAATTAATTATCAGTGCTGGGAAGGTTACTTTTAAAATGTATTTCACTACAGATTACAAAATACATGCTTTAAAAGGTAATCAGTAATGTATTTCGTTAGATTACTCAGGTTTAGTAACTTAATCTAAATACTTTAGAATACTTTGAAATACTTAAGCTGTACACAAAGGAACATATTAATGTCTTGTTTTTATGTTTTTTCAACTCTAAATAAAAGTGACATCTACCAGTCATAAGATTTGCATTTTCCTTCAGTTCAGTTTTCCACAGCATTACTATGAACAACAAAAAAATGTTGTGTCATTTAAATCTACCAATCAATATAAATTAAATTTGAATACAATTGTTAGGTAGCACCTCCCAACATTTACTCAATGTCTGGTAACATAGCGGGCAAACATGGATTTGACTCCAGTTAAAGAATCATGCACAGGATGAGTGTGTCTCCAATAACACTGCCATTTATTCCAGACAAGCAGCAACATCTATTAAATTATATAAGGCACATTGAGGTAGAGTACCCTTTACTTTGTGGTCTGTAACAACAAATAATACAACGCAATTACAATGTAGAATGAGAATTAGTGAGTACAGATTTACACA